AGGGGATCCAACTTGTCCATCAGCTCGTTCCGGTACTTCTTGGTGAAGTAGCCCACGTAGGAGACGAAGGCGGAGATGAGCAGCACGTCCCCGCACAGCGTGACCCCCTGGGACCTGAAGTTCTGCACCGACTCCGCCCAGCGGACGTTCTCCGACGCCAGGCCGCCCACCAGCCTGCGGGGACCCAGGCCCGTGGTGTCAGCGGAGGGAGCGCGTCTGGGTGAACAACCTTCGGAGGAGAGGAGCGGGGCGGGGCACCCCTAACCCCCCCGTCTGCGACCCCCGCCTTGCCCGTCCGCCTGTCCGTCCGTACCTTGCTCAGCGCTTCTGGGGGAGAATGCTTTGGGGGTCCTGGGGGGTAAGTGCTTTGGGGAGCACACCAGTGTTGCCCTCTGCGTGTTGCTACGGTGACGCCAATACCGTGACGTCTCCCCCACGTGCTGGGGCTGCCCCTAGACACCCCCAGCCTGCGCTCTGGCTGGCGGGAAGCTGCGGGCTCCGCTCTCTGGGGGATAAGCGGGGTTTGGGGAGCAGGTTACCTGTTGGCCAGCGAGATCACCCTGTTGGTGGCGTCGGCCTCCTGCTGGCACTTGATTTTCTCAGCCGTGGCTTTTTCAAACGCCGACGTCAGGTTGCTCAGGTTGGCGTTGAGCTCCTGGGTCACAGGCGGGAGGGTCCGAGGTGGCCGGCAGCGCGGTGCCCCCCGTGGAGGCGGGAGGGAGCGGAGCGGCCTCCCGGTGGGACAGGGGCTCACGCTGCTGGACCAGCCCCCCCCAGAGGCAGGGCCGGTGCGGGCACTCACGGCGATCTTGTTCTTGATCCGCGACAGCTTGTCCTGGGCCTCGGCCAGCTCGGCGTTGGCCTCCTCCAGCGCCTGCCGCTTGGGTGCCACGTCGCAGTACACCTCGTAGAAGCGCACGATGTTGATGCACCAGGAGCACAGCCCCGCGGCCGCCGTGGACTTGGAGCGGATGAACTCAGGGTCGAAGGTCGGGTTGCCTTGGTAGGGCCTGGAGAGGGAAGGGGGGCGCTGGCCTGGGCTCCGCAGGACGGGCCCCCCTGCCGCCTCCCACCTGAGCCCCGCTGACCACAGGGCTACAGTGAGAGCTGAATTAAAAAAATGTATTTTTATATCTTAATGATTAAAGGAAGAAGGACACGGGAACCACAGGGCGCTGGCCTCGCGTGTGCTTTGGAGCGGGAAGGCCCCGGGGGCAGTGGGTTAAGGTACCCCACCTCCCTTCCCGGCTGTCACACCCTGGTCTCGTCTGGGGCCACCAGGGTCCTCAGGGTTCTCAGCCAGAGCCCAGCGGACCCAGGGGCCCTGGCAGCAGCCACATGAGACGTGAATGGGGCCTGGGGTGCACACGTGGAGGCCTCGTGAGGGCTGCCGCATGGGGTGATGGGTAAGACCAGGAGGGCCCCCCTACACCCCTCCAACGACCCCCCCGAGGCAGCCCAGCCAGCAGCTGAGTGTGTCCCTCCGGACAGATGCAGCCAGATGTGCCCAGGCTGCCACCTCGCCCTGCAGCCCGGGGGCCCGGCCCCGCCCTCGGCGAGGGTTAGATCCCGGGACCTCACACGCTGCCTGGACGAGGGGCTCCAACAGGCCCGAGTGCCACCCCCGGGCCGGCCGACTCACTTGAAGGCTTTGAGGCAGGCCTCGGGGATGTGCTCCTTGTCGAACCTCTTGAGGGAGTCCAGGAACGTGTCCACTTTGCCCATCATGATTTTCGCAGCCTTCCAGCTCTTGTCCTTGGGGATCTTGCCCCCGGGCGCGGTCAGGATCATCACGGCGGCTGTGACGTTGACCACGGCGTCCGGCGGGGACCCGAAGGACTTCAGCTCCGTCAGGTTGTTCTGCAAACGGCAGGCAGGACCGACCTGAGAGAGGCCTGGAGGCCCAGGACGAC